GTAGTGAGTGTACAGCTTGTATAACAGTGTAAATTTGCTGTCCCCTCAAAATAACTCAACACACAACCATTAATATCTAAACTGCTGGCCACAAAAGTGAGTACATCCCTAAGTGAAAATGTCCAAATTGGGCCCAATTAGCCATTTTCTCTCCCCGGTGTCATGTGACTCAGTGTTACAAGGTCTCAGGTGTGAATGGGGAGCAGGTGTGTTAAATTTGGTGTTATCGCTCTCACTCTCTCATGCTGGTCACTGAAAGTTCAACATGGCACCTCATGGCAAATAACTCTCTGAGGATCTGAAAAAAAGAATTGTTGCTCTACATAAAGATGGCGTAGGCTATAAGAAGATTGGCAGTGGGCGCACAAAATATTGACACTTTGGGCTCAATTTGGACATTTTCACTTAGAGGTGTACTCACTTTTGTGACCAGCAGTTTAGACATGAATGGCTGTGTTGAGTTAAAAAAACAATAATATTGTGAAATATTATTACAACTTAAAATAATGGGGTTCTATTTTACTATGCTTTAAAATATAGGCCTATTTCTGTGATGCAAAACTGAATTTTCTTCAGCCATTACTGCAGTCTTCAGTGTCACATGATCCTTCATAAATCATTCTATTATATGCTGATTTATTATCAATGCTAGAAACAGTGCTTGTTTATTTCATAACCTGTTATACTTTTTTCAGGATTTTTTTATTAAAAAAATATATACATCTTTTATAATACGTCTTTACTATCACTTTTTATCGATTTAACACACCCTTGCTGAATATTACTGTTTTTTCTCGCTCTATTTCTGATAAAATAAATGCAGGCTTGATGAGCATAAGAAATTTCTTTCAAAAACATTAAAAATAGTAATGGGTCCAAACTTTTGACCGGTACTGTATCATATTAATCAAACTTTATCTAAGGTAATGTCTTTTTTTGTTTGATGAAGATGTTATTGTTGATGTTATTATTATTTAGCTGTTTTGTTTAATTTAATCACAGTTCCAGAATACCACTTCAGTAAGTGCTTTTATCATTTTTTTCCCCTAGCTGGGTCTGAGCAGGATTTCCCCCTCCCATTTAATCAATATTGACTACAGATATTGTCATATTGATATCAATATTATAATATTATGTATTTCATTGTTACCTTAAATATTATATATATATATATATATATATATATATATATATACACACACACACACACACACACACACACACAAATCAAGTGGAACAGAAAGACACGGTCACTACTAAGCAGAAAAAAAGTTATTTAGTTAGTTGAAACTGAAATTATAAGTGTTAGAGCAGTAATCTAATCATCAGTTGAATTTAGATGTCATCAATGTTTTTGAACCATTTAAAAAATGTTCTAGTGTTTGCTTTTTAACTTCGAATACAAACTAATCTGCTTTTACTTTTGAAGCTATTTTGCAAGTCAGCTCCCGACGCAATTTCATTCATTGTACGCGCAAATTCAAAGCGTCGCGTCTGGGTGCGTTAACGCTCTTTTAAACTCGTAGTAAAGCAGTGAATGATCTTTCCAGAAATCACACTGATCGACAGAACAAGTTTATATTTAGAATACATTGCAATCACTCCAAAATAGATGACAACAACTAACACACCTGCATTAAGAGCTGTACTTCTTTGTGTGCCTTTTTAGCCGTTTGCATCGCACAGTTCGCAGCACCTGAAGGATGCGTTCGTTGGCAGACATTCATAAGGCGGACCCGCTTTGAAACTGCAACATTAATTGGTTTAATTACAGATGAGTGACAGTTCAACTATATCCAACGAACAATGAGGCTAGTATTTCTGCCCGTCTTGACTGGTGGTCTAGCACAGGGGTTTTCAACCTTTTAGGACATGCGTGTGTGAGGTGTGTGAGCGGTGCGCATAGAAACGCTTTATCACAGTGAGATGTCTTGGGCTTAAAATTACTTTAATGTTTAAACTGACTTGACTAAAAGACTTAAAACACGTGAGAATGAAACACTTTCTGGAGGAAGCAGCACTGGCCTGATCGTTAAGATAGTTTTGGGGGACTAAAGTGACAGATAGGGGGGCTGAAACCCACCTAAAAAGGGTTTAGAACCGCCCCTGGTATAGCGTGCGTAATTATACTGAAACATAAATATATAACCAGTTTAACTGATTCAATGTAATGGCTGAGCCTGTTTCTGAGATAACATGCCAATCAGTGGTTGGATTTCTAATAGGAAATCATCTTACACTGTCAAGAAGCGTGACCAGGGTTGCCAGGTTTTCACAACAAAACCCGCCTAATTGCTACTCAAAACTAGCCCAAAACTACAAAACGCGGCAAGTGTTAAAGTAGCCCAATTCCACGGGAAAACCGCGGACTTGGCAACACTGAGCGTGACTGATACTGGAGCCAACTCTGCTCTAACTGTCGACTAGCAGTGGGAGTCAGATTGCCCCCTAGTGGATGGCTAAAGATTAGTTAACTCGTATTCATAAATTCTCAAGAGAACGTCTCTGAATTAACTGATGCTCACACCCCCCTTGACAGGTGCAGGCGCCCCCACAGGTTGAAAACCCCTGGACTAGCATATATGGGGATGTTACGGTTATTGAGGCCCCTCCTCAAAGCCCGAGGCCTAGGCAATCGCCTGCTGCTCTGCCTATAGCTAGCGCCGGTGTTGTGCCGAATCCCAACCCCACCCTTAATCCTAACCCTTCCCCCACACCTACTCCTAAACCTACCAATACTAGGGGGTGCATAATTTGGCAGGGTGCAAATTTCGGCACTACACCGGCCCTGCATAAATGAATCACTCCTGCACACCAGAATTACAAGCCAAAGTTTTTATTTGCTGATGCATCAAGGAGGATTTAAAAAAAAGCCAATATCATTGCTGCCATTTACAGTACAATTCATGTCACCAAAAGTTTTGCCACATTCTGCTGTCCCTCCACTTTCCAAAGACACTCCTGACCTTAGTAGTACCAGCCCTGATCATGTTTACATATGCTTTTCCATCCATTTTTCATTTCATTATTTTATTAGCATTTTTAAACAGGTGTTACACACCTTTATTTTACATAGTTTCACTACGTTAACTTTATTTACATTTAACTAATTGTACAGAAAGAAAACATTTTCCAAAAAGAAAAGAAAAAAAAATAATTTAAAACCAAATAGAAAATAAAATGATTGCAGAATACTACAATCATACAGTTGTTACAAGATGCAAAAACGGCATCTCAAAATGTACATTTTTCAGTGCAAGATTTCACAATTTCAATAACAGGGTGGGAACCTTCAAATCCCAAAGTGTAACCCGTTATGCAGTTTCAACAGCCTGTGACTGTGACATGTATGATGTCTGTTTCATTCACTATTTTTGTAAAATGTATATTGATTTACAACCAACCAGCAAAAATAGCTTAACACAGTTGAGTGCTGAGTATGGCTTTTATTTGAATCATCTTGTTCATGTTTTGTGACACCCTTTGATCAGAGTATGGTACAACTGTTTCTGATAATTGGTATGAGCTGAAAATGATCAAATATTACAATATTTTAGCAAACCAATCATCATTTATCACACCCTGCTTTTGTATAGCAGGCTGAAGTGTAGCTTTGCATATTCATACAACTAGTTAATAAATTCTGCAACTTTCATGAATGCTTAGTACACAGAAAAACAAGTCTCAAAAATGACCCTCAAGACCACCCATTTCAACTGTAACAAACCACG